CAGGGAGTAACCTCAAAAAAATATGGTGTCAACTATGTTGCCCGAACGCAATGTTCAGAATGAAGAACATTATAAATTAAATTGTCAATCTTCACAGACAGTCAATATTAAATTGTATTGGGTATAGTGCATCACCTGATGACAAATCGAAACAGTTCACTGCGCCCATTCTCAACAACGGCCTTTACAACTTCTCTATCGATCCACCACTGCTGACGATTTTCTGGAGGCAGTTGTGTTAGAGATGACACTGCTTCTTGAACCTTAAACAAACTATTGAGAACCCATGCAAGCGAGATTACGCAGCTCACTTTTGGAGAATACTTCAAAGACACTGATGCAGAGCGTTTCCTCTCGTCTACATTAGTAACAGCCACTTCGAGAGGGAATTGCGCGAGCCTGGCACATTGACATCAAAGAGCGATAATGTTGCTAAATCATAACAGTACCTGTTGTTAGTAAAACTGTGAATGATCGGTTTGATTGAGCGACATGTGATAACAAGTGGGCTTCCTTCTACAAGCTGATCTCCTACCCGATCACTCTTTATTGGATCGGACATCGAAGTAGCCATACAACCCTTTTCAGACGATTTCAGGAAAGAATTCAGCAAGGAATCGTCAATGAATGTTTCACCAATTACGGAGGACACCTTAAAAAAGATCGTTTACCATAACGAACATTCTAATAGGAAACTTACATGTCCTTCATTGTTGACAACGCTTGCCTTCCACAGAACGGCCACCTGTACATAATTTTCGGGAAGCACGGACGTCTCATCGGCATTTTTCACACAGTCAGGAAGAGCTGGAGGCCAAGCAGGCAAATCCGGAGGCAATGCGCTGAGGCACCAGCTGGGCTTGTTCATTCCTTCAGTCTTTGAACCACTCTTTGGCGTCACTATGTACACTCCAACGCTACAGGATTGTTCACAGTCAAGTTGCACTAGATAGAATTCATTAATCATACCAGTTGGATGGATAGATCATACAGGCACTTGTACACACCTGCACCTATCCTCATTGGTTGAAGAATATAGGGAGAAGCATCTGTCTCATTCCAATGCCCTTTGTTATCCATTCGTTGTTCAACAAGGCGAATGCGCATCACTTCACAGCGGGCTAGTGCTGCGTCGTTTGCCAAAATTACATTTTTCGTATTAATGGCAACAATGCCATGTGTCTCGTCTAAAAAGAAAATTTCT